TTAAATATTGTTATTATTGTTGTTATTATTATTATTATATTTAAATTATTAAACTGTTTTTATCTCAACCCACAAGATATCTCAACCCACGATCTCACTTTTACCTTTTCTGATTATCTCCCCCATCCCGATGCAGGGGAGTGAGCGAGCGGCTCTGTGGTGCTGAGTTGCTGGCTGGGGTTAAACCACAACACCCTCTTATCAGCACGTTTTGATCGCTCAAATAAATCTCTCTCTAATGCAAATGTCAGGGTTTTTTTTTTTAAATTGTGTTAGCCAAACCATTATATTAAGAAGTATTAATTTCTGAAGATAAAACTACAACACTATATGTAGCAGTTTTGGGTCACATCCCACTTTCTTCACATATGCAGGTACTGCCACTGATTTTACTCGTGTATGTTGAGAAAGGTAGAGCTGGTCCTTTCTGATGTACATTGTTTATATTTTTAGGACTTGGGAGCAGCTGTATATTAGGTATTTTACTCACACATCAAAAGATTTTTGATGTATTTATTTGTAAAGTATTAACTAGAAGTACAAAAAAAGATGTTTTGTGAAATAGAATTCACACACACCCTCGCCAGGAATTGTGGTAGCTCCTCAAATTTTTCAGGCCAATTCTTCCACTCCTCTGGGGGAATCTTTAGAAAGTAATGATGCCTCTGTGTTTGTATTTTTTATGTATTTATCTATACATAAATGAAAGCAACTTAATTCTAATTACAATGATTCTTCTAAAACTTTTATTCTTTGAGAGTGTCTCAAAAGTTGAGTTTTATTTGGGATTTTCCATCTCCAGGTGTTCCAGGCATGAATACTTATCTAAGATAAAGATTCAAAATTTTTGCTTTTTTTTGTTGCTTTGTAGTTATTATAGGGTATAACAGCGTGGCTAATAATGAAAAAGGCAGTCATTCAATTTTATTTCAGGATTATCTCATGTTTACTTAAAGAACAATTTTACTTTTCACTTAAAAGAAACTCTAAGACTGATTCTTGTCTTACCATGTTTTTATGAAGAAAGTAAAATAACTGACTTGCACTTTTTTTTTTCTTTTTTTTTTTGGTTGCCAGCTCACCATGCCTTCTCCTATGCCTGAATATCTTAATGTTCACTATATCTGCGAGTCTGCCTCCAGGTTGCTTTTCTTGTCCATGCACTGGGCACGTTCCATTCCATCTTTCCAAGCTTTAGGGTAAGTGTTCAGTTACTCTATTCGCTCATGTTGTGAATACGCATTTTTTAATTTTTTATTTTCATTGTCTTCTTCAGGGACATTTAAAAATATAAATCTACTTATTAAAACCGTTTTATAGATTTTCATCATGAAAGTAAATTTTCTGAATCAAAACTACTCCTAATTTCAGTCCAATTCAGGTACTTTGGTTGGGTTTTGAAGGAAAAAGGAGTAGATTTATAACAATCAAATGCCTGCACACTGCTGCTACTTCAATAAATTTTTAGTAAATAGGACTTCCTATAATTTTTTAATAGCTACATCCCAAACTAGGATGCTTATCAGACAGTCACCAAAAAGAAGCTCCTCCCTGGATCCCCAAATACTGTTATCTTTATAGGTGAATTAGTAGTAATAATTTTGCCTTTAATAACCTATATGAAGAAAATGGTTAGCTAGATTCAGCAAGCATTCAGGATGAAGTTGTTTAATTTTATGGGATTTTCCAAAAACAAATGGTTGCTGTAACCAGAAAGTAATTCTTACTATTCTTTTTACAGTTTGTATAACATCCTGCTTTTCCAGCAGAATTCAGTGCATCACTTAAAATTCTTAAGCTACATGTAGTAGTAGTACATTGCCGATCATCATGAGAAAACATCTCAAAACAGCATGGGGAAAAGTGATTTATGTCATTTTCGGAAGTAATTTTATGAAGACACATCAAACAAAGATACTGTATCAGCTCTGACACAAATGGAATATAAGTCATGCTTGTCTGTTCTCATCTACAATGTTTTTCTTTAATTCAGTATCAAAATAGTGTATGACTGGCAGCAAAGAGAATTCCTTTTTAAAGTGAGGAATTGTCCTCTTTTCCGAGAAGGCTGTCAAAAGCAGCATGATCGGCGATTACCATTTGTGTTTACTCAGATGCTTAAGCCAAATGATTCTACATTGTTTAAGGAAAGATACTACATTGTGTGTAATTGAAGCCTGTGTTTTGGAGAAGGAAAAAGTAAAATTCTATAAAGTTAAAACAGTAGCAAGGGTAAAAAATCAGATAAATACGATGTTTTACTTTAGTAGAATTTGTTTCCCTGCAGAACTTCAAAATACCTAGCAAATTAACATAGGACATTATATACTTATACATTTTTAAAAGGTTTTCGTAACAGAGAGACACTGCAAATTAGTGTTATAACAACAGATGGGAATTGCTTTTTAAAAATAAAATGTTGTACAGAGGACCTCTCTCTCTGAAAAGATTTAACAAGAAATACTTACAGAAAATCTGCATTTTTTTTAATATGTTACTTCCTAATATATTTTTCTGTTTGAATAAAAAAAAATGGAGGAGTAGGCTTTCTTAATAGTGTTAATATTTACCTGTGTTAGCATTTACAGTCCCAGTCAAGATCATGGGCAACAGTGTATTTAAACACCATTTAACATAAATATGCAGTTTTTCTTTTGAAGAGCTTAAAATACTAATGTTTTTCCAAGTGGAGATTTATTTGAAATTAATGCAGCTTTTTTAGTTTGAGCACATTATGTACTATAATTTGGACTCTCAGAAGGGTGACTCATTTCACTTTTAAAATGAAGAGAAATTCATGGTACTAGTAATTGAGAGGAGTTGATGAGCCAAAACAAAACCATAGTAATGGTTTTGTAAGGAAGGTAGATAATTGTATCCAGGTGGTTTACCTCCTCAGGCAATGTTTTCCTTAGTCTCAGCAAGATAGTTGGCTTTGGCATACTGATTTAGTTAATGATACCAAGTTATTGCTTAGTTCCTCTTCCTGCATGATGATCTTTGTAGGCAAGAGAGATTCCTGCATCAAGCTGGTTACAGCCTCCTAGTTTTCTGAGGCTGCTCAAGTTTGATCAGCTTGTTCTGATCTAAGTTTGATAAGCCATAAAGTTGCTCTAGATGATACATTTATCTGCGCACATACCAGCTGAGTAGCCAATATAGCCTATTTTCACTGCTCCTCAGAATAGTCCCTTTGACAGGAGATGAATGGGGATGTGAGAAATATGTGTAGAAGCTGCATGTACAGTATCATGTCTACCATAACAAGAACTGGATCATAGTAAAAAATACTGCCCTAGCTAAGCTCTCTGTAATCCAGTGCAGGACAAGTCTACATTAATCTGTCATTTGGCATATTAGTATTGCAGTAAATCATCAGAAATGTTCTTGAAGATTGCAAAGATCCATTCCATTGTATTTTTGTAGTTGAAATCCTAGCTTTAATATGCTTTTCTTCTTTGATAGGTCTTGTGCTTCTTTTAAATTTCCATTATTTATATTTACTGGCTAAAACTGTGAAACATGGTACCTGAATTTGACTCCTCACTGGTAGGATTTCCTTTTTAAGGTACTGAGCTCTTGTTAAGCTCTACAAGTTACAGATGCTTGGCAATACTGAAAGTTAGGTTACTAATATGGAAGTGCCTGAATATGGATTGATATACCTAATTTTAAGCTTCAGCATTTGAAAAAAAAATATTGACTACATATGAAACTTCATTTAAAGACTACTTCTTACAGCAAAGAAGTCCTCATTATTTCTATTTATACTTTGAAGTCTGTATTTCAAACCTTATTCCAAACATGAAAGGGATACAAAAAATAGCAGTCAGGAAGCTCAGGAACTTGATCTCACATGTTCCATTTCATATGTATTTTTAATTAAGAAATTATACCAACCTGCCAGATTTCAAGTAAAAAAAAAAAAAAAAACCAAACGACCTTTGAGTCTATTCTACACTCACAGTACAGGAACAATGCAAACTTGTTTTGCCCATGCATGTCAATGTTATTAAAAAATTAGTGTAAATCCTAAGAAAATTAGCATGATGGAATGTGCCCAGACAGTTGTCATTTACTGTAACTTAAGCTTGCTTTTGTGATAGAAATCTATCTCCTTTTAGATCATTAAACCAAAAGCTACTTCTTTACAAAAGTCACTCTAAAATAGTTATTTTAATCCTAGCATGCAAATAAAAATATTTTTCATGCAGGGCTTCATTTTGGTACTGGTTGCAATGTTGAATTAGATGAATGTTTTATGAAGTGTTCTTCAAACTGAAAAAAACTATGTGAATGCAAATGGCTGGTTTTATTAAGTGAAATTATTGTATTTTTTAATAGACAGGATAACAGCATATCATTAGTAAAAGCCTGCTGGAACGAACTTTTTACGCTTGGTCTTGCACAATGTTCACAAGTTATGAATGTGGCAACTATATTAACTGCATTTGTTAATCACCTTCATGGCAGTTTACAGCAAGGTAAGGTGTATACTGTGCACATTGCCAGACTTGGGGAATTACTTCATGTTTTTTAAGTTCTGAACGGCACGGAAGCCTTTTACTTATCCTTCAATTGTCAATGAAAAATTACTGTTTATAGAGTTATGTGATTAGCATTGAAACAAAATAATACCAGAAAATACAGTTCACAAGGTGGAATTTTTTAGTAATTTTGCAGAACTCAGCTATGCTGATACTTAACCCCAAATTAAAAAGAATAAAATAAAATCACCCATCTATCTAATATAGGTTAGCATTTACTGGGGTTGTTTTTATTGTGTGTCTAGTGATGTCTAATAGTGTTCTGCTGTTCTGTTAATATACATCAGCTCAAATTAGGAATATTTCAGGCAGCATCAATGTTAAGAACACAAGTGTACTATGAATATGATTCCTCTGTATCAAGGGTATAAAGTAAAGAATGACCCACCTATCCTTGCTGTTCATAGCTGTGAAACAAAGCAGCCGAATGCCAGCTTGGTGATAAACTTCCTTTACATAACTTGGCTTGTTGACTTCTGTATAGTAGTATTAGACTACATGCAAGTCTTCAGCAGATCTTCACTAAGTATACTTCATTCCTTATTAATCCTATATCCTGCATCTTTTGCATATTTTTGATTCAAATGAAAGAGATGCCAGTTAGCCTCCTCTTTCATTTACTTTACAGTGAAGGAAATGTTCTTCTGAGTAGTAGGGGAGTCTTTTAGCTAATCTTCTTTGTGTGCTTGTGAACGCTCACAAGGTTGTCAGCACTAAAAGCTAACCAAACAAAAATACTATAGTGTTCATCTGTTCATAGTCTTAACACATTTTTAATAAGGTAGGTGCGCAAACAAAAATGTTAGCATTTTCAGGTTTAACTAACTTTTAGGGTTATTTTCTGTTACGTGGATGAAAAGTCACTGTCACGAATGCTATGCAAAAACAGATTGGTAAGCTGTAGAAAAACAGCCCACAAGACTAGATTTTTCCTCTCCTTTTATGGTAAGGGAATTAAAGAATTATTTCTGAGAGATTTTCACGTTTTAAAAATATCCACAAGATCCTCCTATAAATAACAAAATTAAAATGACAAAATTAAAACAAATTGATCAGACCACTAAATGTAATGGATCAGGTAAAGATATTAATAAATAAATCTGTCAATGTCTCTAGGAGTGATACAAATGGAATTTGGGAAGTTTGCTCTTTATAATTTTTAAGCATGTTCACCAAAAAGGATATTGTAGTAATTAATCATGGTTTTATCATTACTACAAATACATATTTTTGCCATTTAATTTGGGAATTCAGTTTGAATGCACAAATCAGAAATTTATATCCAGAGTCTTCCAGTTGTGCAGTATGCCAGCTGCAGCATCTCCAAGAGGTAGGAAGTTTGTGTGGCCCAGGGACCCCAGTTGGATGGATCATGGAGGGAATGAGATTTTCAAGCCACTTAGCTATTGTTGACCCAAGGGGAACAGCTCTGCACCAAACACGTTCCCCTAGATGCAAATCAGGGACTGTGTATAGCACACCTTCTTTTTCAGCAGTGGCATAGTCTTTGACTGCCTAAAATAACCTGTGAAACTGTACACTAACCTACGTCATGGCACCTGACTCTTGGATGTAGAGCGCAGATCTGCTGTAGTAGTGTATTCTTCACTTACAAGTAGTCTTTCCATTCCTTGATCATTCCAAGCTCTGGTCTGCCTCCGATTATTGGAAACTTTAGTTAGAGACCTAATTGTACAACATAAGGAGGAAAAAAAAAAAGGGGGGGGGGGGAATTGTTGTAGTCCATGATTGTTTGTGTCAAGATTATTCAGACCTAGTATGTGAGTTTATAGATGGCATAGATTTCTCACTGTTTGAATCCAATACAAATCATTATTTTAAAAAATCTAGTGTGACCACATTTTTTGCATGTGTGTTGACTTGGAGGTTTTATATTTTATGTGTGTGTTGACTTAGATAAGCTGCCAACAGACAGAGGAAAATTAGTAATGGAGCATATTTTCAAATTGCAAGAGTTCTGTAACAGCATGGTTAAGCTTTGCCTAGATGGATATGAATATGCATATTTGAAAGCGATCGTCCTCTTCAGTCCTGGTATGTAATTATTCCAAATGTAAACCTTTAATCTATGCTATTTTTTGCCATATAACTTCTGCCTGTTTCATTATATGCAGTTACTATCACCTGTAGAATTACTGCCTCACTTGTTGAGGGATCTGGAAGGGACTGTAGGAAGGGGAGGAGGGTTAATCTTTTAATGTAAACAGTTGAATGCTACTTTGGAGACTTAAGTTTTATTCTTGCTTCTGCCATTGGTTTTTGGGTTTGTTTTTTTTTTTTTTTTTAATGTACTGCTTTTAATTCTGTGCCTCCTTTCTGGGGTACTCTTTATGAGTAACTGCAGTCTTTTTGACCTGCAGTTCAGTTTTCGGAAGTGTTGCTCTTGCACGTCCAGCTGAGATGGGTTGAACTTGGGTTTCTAATATATGAAAGACTATCTATCTCTCTGGGCATGGATTCTCACATGTAAAGTTACAGAAACACACCACCTCACTTCACATATGTATTTTGAAAATAAATATTGCATGTAGCATTTCTGGTGAATGAACACTACAAACATTCCCTTATGTTATTATTTCTGTCTTCTGAATAGTATTTGCCTAATGTATTCCAAGTAATGTTAATGGACGTACATTAGACAGTGAAGATAAAGTAAAATAATGATTATTTTTTCCTTCTGGGAGTCTACAATATGGAGGAAGAAGAGTCCTCTGGTTATGACAGATAGTGACTGAATAGTTCGATTATGTAACACGTATGCCTGGACTGTAGAAAATTAGAAAGTTATTTTTCTTTTATTTGACAATTGTAAAATTACCTTTTCACTGAAGGCATTCTGATATTATATCCGTATACTGCAGGTCTTAGATTGATCATTCAGAATTTAGGGATTTAATATAAAACCAAAGTCAAATCTTTTGATAAAAGAAAAATGTATAAACCTCAAGTACTTTCTGTACCTCCAGGAATTTTTCACTGTCACATTTAGAAAGTAAATCTTCAGTCACTCCATTTTGCGTTAGTTTTAAAAGCATCAACAGATTTCTTAAACCTCATTGCTCTGCCTTTTTTAGATGCTGATGTACCACAGAAAAGATCAGAGCAAATTTTAAAAAGCTGTCTGAATCTTAGTGACCTGCCCCCTGTCAGTAGTGTAGGATATGGAAGAGAACTGGATATTTGGATATTTGGTTCTTGTCAGTTCTGTAGATTTTTTTAGATCTGAGAAGAACTTTCTTTTTCCATTCAGTTGCAGTTCACCCTTTCACAGGAAAAGTAGTAGAGGTGAGAAAATCTTTTGGAACTTGGACACTTCCAAAATGTAAATTTTAAGCAGCTTTTCTTTTTTATAGAGATATATATCTCTCTCTCTAAAAAAGAATTGTGAGGGTCTTGCTTTGCAGTTTCCCTCATATTTACATGATCTTTTCTGTATGTTGTATCTACAAGAAGTACCCACATCTCCCAGTAAAAGTGGTAGCATCAGCATCAGCTGGAATTCATGGTACTCATCCAAGTGCATAACAAAACCCTGCATATCTTCCTTTTTTTTTTTTCTTTTTTAAATATTGCATTAATGGAAGATTTCTGAGATGAAAGATGTTCTTGCAAATAAAAGGCAGTATAAGTAGTGTCAGAACTCTCCAGGAAAGATAATAAATTCCCAGAGGATATTCCAGTGATATTCTTCTATTGTGGATCACTAAGGAAAATCAGATCCTGAGTGTTTTCACTATAGAACATAATCCTGCTGTCAGTCCTCCTGACTAGGAGAATCTTGCACTGAAGCACAGGAACGATTTCAGTTTTCTGATAAGCAGTACCTACCATGAATTTAATTGCAATATTAAGAGTGCTTGAAAATGCTTGCAATTTTTCTTTTCCGCTGAGGACTGAAGAGTTGCCTGAACTTTTCACCGTTATTTCAGAAGAAGCAGAAACTTAGTGGAGGGTGGGAAGGTGTTTGCTTGTTTAATTTCAGTAGATAATGCTTGCAGGAGATACAATTCTCCTTCAGGTGTTCCTTACCCCAAAATAGTGCTTTCATGGCATTCCCATACTCAGAACTGATACAGGTTATCCCAGGAAAGAAACAAAATGATGGAAGAATACCTCAAGTCCATTTTTCTAGCACAATGTCTACTAGGATTTATGACAGAATCTGTTGGCCTGTTGGAAGAAATCAGTTCTGTTAGACACGAGAAAATATTTCTCTAGGAACCTTACACTTTGTTGTGGTTTAACCCCAGCTGGCAACTGAGCACCTCCAGCCGCTCACTCACTTCCCCCGGTGGGATGGGGGAGAGAATCAGAAGAGTAAAAGTGAGAAAACTCGTGGATTGACATAAAGACAGTTTAATAAGCAAAGCAAAAGCCACACACGCAAGCAAAGCAAACCAAGGAATTCATCCACTACTTCCCACCGGCAGGCAGGTGTTCAGCCATCTCCAGGAAAGCAGGGCTCCATCACGCGTAGCAGTTCCTTGGGAACACAAACACCATCACTCCCAACATCCCCCCCTTCCTACTTCTTCTTCCCCCAGCTTTATATGCCAAGCATGATGTCATATAGTATGGGATATCCCTTTGGTCAGTTGGGGTCAGCTGTCCCGGCTGTGTCCCCTCCCAACTTCTTGTGCACCCCCAGCCTCCTCACTGGTGGGGTGGGGTGAGAGGCAGAAAAGGCCTTGACTCTGTGTGAGGACTGCTCAGCAATAACTAAAACATCCCTGTGTTATCAACACTGTTCTCAGCACAAATCCAAAACACAGCCCCATCCTAGCTACTGTGAAGAAAATTAACTCTATCCCAGCCAAAACCAGCACACACTTGCAAAGCAGTATTTACCTTTTCGTGTAGTCTGAAGTTAATTTGTCTCCTTCCAGTTAGATTTGACAACACAAAAGGTAGAAGGAAAAATACCTTGGGAAAAGATTATATCCAGTCACATGATTGAGGTGAATGTTCTTTAGCTCACATGCTTTCAGGATCACATTCCTAATGATGTATAGCTGCTTTAATGGCAACGTGTTGTCAATATTCTTGATCCTATGAGCCATTTAACAAAATCTCCACATACCTGAAAGTTATGTTTAGCACCTTGAACAGAAGGGATATTCTGGCAGTGATTCACAGGCCAGAAATTACAATTTCAGGGATTTTACTGCTCTGCTACAGGATGGGGCTGGGCTGCACATGCAGCAGGGTTGTAAGATAAGAACATCTCCTTTAGTAGGCCCTGCTGATTTGCTGTCTTCCATAGCTGGAGACTTGAAGATTACTGAAAACCTTCTGTGCCAAGCCAGCTGTTTGACTGTCACAAGACAGCCTTTGGCAAAAGGATGAGCGTAAAGGGAGTGCCTAGAAGACTTTACATCTTTATAAATGGCTACTAGTGTACTAGCAGTGGTCTTCAAACTACTGTTTTCAGAAGTTGACTTCTAGCTATGTTTCTGACATGCTGTAAAAGCAGCATCATGAAGTGATGCATATTGCATGTCAACGACAACTCTTCAAAATGTGTTGCTTCTTTACGAACATGCTAAACTCTTGTCCTCTGCATAAATTTGAAATCATGTTTTCAGAATGACTGAATTACTATATAGGACAAAATATTCATCTGTGAAATGATGTGTTTAGGGGAGTCCAATGCATCACATAACTGCTAAATTGCTCTGAAAGCTTCTATAACTGCAGAGCTAGACCAAAAACTCCTGGTTTTGCTGACAGAAGACCATATATTTGGAGAGGAGTGACTGTTAGAAATAATCTTTTATCTCACATAATTTGCCAGCTCATTTATGATCCTATTTCTGAGAAATAAAATCTACATGATTTGTCATGCTACTATGACAGTAAAATATTTACACTAAGATAGATGGATAATAAAAATTACAGACCATATAAAATGTTCAGAATTACCAGATAATGATTTCCAAATGTGACTTGGCAGTTAGGTTAATATCCTTTCATTTTAGCAAGATTTAGATTTCAAGTGTTTAAATCACTACTAAAAATTACATTTAGTACGTTTGAAAATTTTGCACCAAACAGCTGATAAAGAATGATTGCTACATATCTTATACAGTTTTTAGGAAACAAATGGTTCACAGCCTTTTATTCTTCACTTCCACCCAAATGCTATTTGTGCATACAATATTCCAGTAAATGTCAGTGTATTGAGACAATGCTGTTCTACTGCTACAGAGAACAGAGCTGTATCATCAAGATTGATGTAAACATTGCAAGCACTGCATTTATTTGAACTCTTCAAAATGTCTGGCTGTATTTATACAAACTAAATAAAACATAAATGAAAAGAAATATAAGGAGGCAAAGCAGTGTCGTCCACTAAAACTGTGAAGTTGCTACAGCTACCAAATAATTATTTCAGTATGCTTACAATTGGATAATCTGTACTGATTTTAGTGCATCTTATATAGAACAGGTATAACAATGTGGAGTGTTTTTTTCAGATCACCCAGGTCTAGAAAATGTGGTACAGATTGAGAAATTTCAAGAAAAGGCTTACATGGAGTTCCAAGACTATGTAACAAAAGCGTATCCAGATGATACTTACAGGTCTGTAAACTTACTCTTCAGAGCATCGGTGATACCGATTTGTACAGTATTTCTTGTAATAAAAACATACATTTTCTTCTTACCTCCTTAAAGGTAAATTACCTTTAGAGCACTTCAAATATTATGCATGTACTCATACATATTATGAGTATTATTTATCTACTCATTATTAATTTCCAAAATTAAATATTGGGAATAAAATAAATATTTTTAATTTTTTCATTTTGAATTGCACCTACTTGGAATATTTCCTCATTTAGTCTAAGTCCAAACATTATACAGTGCATGTAATTGACAGGCATATTCACATTTTTTGTACTGCTGAACACCTGACTGAACATAAATTTAATACTCTATTGATTTAAATATTTAAGCCTTTCATGAACTAGATGTAGTGAATTTTGACCAGTATTGTCCCTTGTCAATTTTTTCTCTTCTCTTACTGATAACATGATTGTGAATAACACCAAAATCTGTGACCAGAAGTAACACTTTTTACCAAACTTATTTTCCAGACTGTCTAGACTTCTTCTCCGATTGCCTGCTCTTAGGCTGATGAGTGCTGCCATCACTGAGGAGCTATTCTTTGCAGGACTAATTGGAAATGTTCAGATTGATAGCATCATCCCATATATTCTGCGAATGGAGACAGCGGACTACAACTCCCAGATAATTGGTCATGCCGTATAAAAGTAGCAGTCAAGGATTCTGTACCATGGCAGTCATGGTGATGTAAATGCATACCCTGTCTCCAAGAGATGGCAATAAGCCTTCCCATGCACCTTTCCAAAGAAGGCTAATGTTCCTCCTTTCCAGTACACTTGGGAAACGTGATGGAGTGTACTAAGGAATACAGGATCGCTTCCTATTTTTCATCTCATCTTCAAGGACTTGTAAATTAACTTGATATCTGAAGATAGTCAAGAATTGTCCATCCTATTTTTGTAGATAGATGAACTTGGAATATTTGTTTATGAAATCCAGGCTTGTGAAGAAACTGAAGAAGCTTTGACTGAACTAAGGTATCTCACTTAGTTTGATGTTTTAGACAAATAAATTAACTTTCCTCTCTGAGTTGTGTTTTCAGTGTTTTGCTACTAGTTCTTTCTCATTGATCAAATGGAAAATACATGATCAAACATCCTGGAAAGACCAGTGTTTCCATGGAAACAAGACCGTGATAACCAAACATAGTTTTTCCTGTTGTTTTGAAGAGAGATTTGTTTCTTGTTGAACGAAACACTGGACACCACTACAAGGGCAGGGAAAGCAGAAACGTTCACATTTTAAAATATTCTGATGATATGTTGATGCAGTTGATGCAGTTGATCAAAAGTGAAGCAGCAAAGGGTCAGTACTGTTTTGTGGATGCAAAGGAATACTGTGTTGTAGTATTATGTCTTGGTAGACATCAGCTGTTTTATACTATGAAAACTAACACAGAAGTGTATACTGCAGGTATTCAAAGACAGCATCCTCCTGTTTTTTCTGGTCTCAGAAGTTAAAGCTTTTTCACACTACCCCTCCCTCTTTCATACTTGGTGCACAACAATGGAGGCATTCTAGATGCCTCTTAACTTGTGTTGATGTCTTTATTTTTTTATTATTGTTAGCCTTTAGCTATGTAGTTCTCTTTTCCAACCAGTCTCGTATGATTATTTTTTAAATTTGAGTTTGTCCAATCCAGTGCACCTCCCTATGGGAGCATGGTCTCTGCTGCTTTTCCTTTCCTTATTAGAAATGGGTCTAGATACTTCATATATGTTGCCTGAATCATACTCCATAGCTCCATCTAAGGATGGGTTTAAATGTTTTTCTATCTTGAGGCATGTGCCTCACTGACAAGTAACACTAACACATGGTTGCTTCTTGCTTACTTTTGCAACAGGAAGTTATACATCCCTAGCACATTTAATACCTGTTGCTTAAAATGAGAGAAGTATCCTAGTAAAAGTGGTTGTCTACCTCTGACACTAGCATTTAGGATTACCTAAATCTTGGATCAAGGCTGAGTTCTGTTTGTCGTGAACCTTCTCTTTTTCTGGCAACATTGGGCGAGGAAGAGCCTCACCCAATCAAGAAACACATGGTTGCACCAGAAATTGCTTAGCCAAAAGATCAGCTTAAATGAGGGCCTTTGCCCACTCTGCGCTAGCAGCTCCAAGGCCACCCTAACACCAGGAGACTACTAGATGAGGCCTGGGTGAGTTCTGTAGTTTTTCGCAGCACCTGAGGATCTCAACCAACCAAAAAGAATCAGAGAACTGCCTCTGACACTGAATATCTGTGTTCTTTTCAATTCCACTAACTTGAGCTGCTTGGATCTTCTTCCACCCAAGCTCTGTAATCTGAGGCTGTGCTACAGGATTGGTCATATCCAATACCATGCACCAAAGCACTCGCTGCTGAGGACCCCTGATGGGATGGAACTGTCCCCCCTGCTCTGCCTTGGCACTTACAGACTTGCTGGAGGACAGCCTTCAGAGTGTTGGAGTTGGCCATGGCAGCTGAGCTCTTCCCACATTCCAGCTTTCAAAGGGCGCAGGATTCAAGCTCTTCATCTGTGTTCCCTGGAGAGCAGTATGAGGACTACTGCTCTGCGTTTCAGGAGGTATGCAGCTCATCAGCAGGGTTTATGGAAATATGACAGACAGTTTCTGCTAATATGCTGTGCTTGTTCTCTCCCCCGGGGTTAGAGGCCCACCTTGCGATCTGCAGGACCAAGCTGCAGATGGGAGGTACATCATTCTTCAATTCAGCTCTCCTTAGAAATTCTGATGCTGCTTTCTAGCCCTGTGCTATCCCTAACCCACTTCTGGCCCTAACAGGCATGGGAGATTTACAGTCCTCTGTGTTAAACCTTTTAAGGAAGCTGACAGCATGTTACACCTGAATATTTTGGAGGTGGTTTCCCAGGCATTCCAATAATCTTGCAAGTTTTACTCCAATATTCTCCACATCATGTAACCCAGATAAGAGTAAGATGGAAATAAATAGCTGGTTTTCCTTCTAAATGCAGTACATTGTGCATATCTCTCTCATATCGCTGAAGAAATCTTTTACCCCATAGCTTGAGCCTCAGGTGTTATATGCAGTTCTTTGTTTACAGCTGGCCGTAAGATTCGGCTGATGCAGCCTCTCACGTGGTACTGTCGTGCTTCAGAAACAGCTGAGAAAATACCAGTGTTTCTACAGACATAAATCGTTAGGGATTGAATCCCTCAATCCATCCATCTTTACCATAGAACAGCCCAGGTTTGAAGTGACCTTGAAAGATCATCCAGCCCAGCCTCTTTTGGGAAAGGGAGCTGAGATGAGATTATCTAGCACCCTGTCCAGTCGCATCTTGAAAACCTCCAGTGATGGGGACTCCGCCACATGCCTGGGGAGGTTGTTGCAGTGATTGATTGTTCTCAGCGTAAAAAATTTCTTTCTTATATTGAGATCTCCAAGACTTCAAAGATTACAGACGGTGGCCTTGCACCAATGTCAGCCACTTCCCTTAATACCCATGGGTGGATTTCCTCTGGGCCCATGGATTTATGTGGGTTGAGCCCTTACAAGAGGCTGCAGATCAGCCCTTCCTCCACTACTGGTGGGTCGACACATGCATTGTTGTAGCTACTTGATCCTGTGCTCTGTGGTCCAGCTATGCTGGTAAAGATGGAGGCAAAGAAGATGCTGAGAAGGTCTGCCTTATCATTATTAGTGAGTAGTTCCCTGCCCTGTTAGGCAATGGGTCTGTGTCTTCCCTGTGTTTCTGCTTACTGCTCACGTATCTGAAGAACCCTTTCTTGTTGTTCTTGACGTCTTTGGCCAATTTCAGTTCTAGCCTTCCTGACCACATCTCTGCATGCTCTAGCAAGGTTCTTGTAGTCCTTCATGGGTATTTAGCTGCCTTTCCATAGCCAGTATGCTTCTTTTTTGCCTTCTTTTTTTTTTTCTGTTTTTTTTTGTCAAAGCACTGTTTTGGAGGAGGTGGCCTCAGAACCTTATTTTCTCTGGATTTCTCTTCTTGCTTCCTCTTTGTTCCCTAGTCTGTTTGAATACAAGTTCGCCTACTTCAGTAATGTGTGGACTGCCAATACTTCTGACTGTGGGGTCAATACTACTTTCTTAGGATGTGTTAACTCAAAAGCACAAGAACCTTGGTCATGTTTCACATTAGGTTGTTTAAATTCAGGTGTTTGAAACATGTCCTTGCTGTTCTTTTTGATGCCTATCACCTCTGCTGGGCAGCAGCAGATCCAAATACTGATGGCTGACTTTTTCCCCTCCCACACCTTTTACTGTTCTGTTCCTGGCAAATCCCTTGGACTTCATCTGGGATTTCTGTCCGAATCAGGAAGTTCACCCACCTATGTTTTTCTCTTTAAGTCCTGTATTTTCAGGTCTGAGATTTCCCTTCACATGTTGGGTAGCAAGAGAATATTGTTGTCTTATTTGCACGGGACAGAGACTTTCAGATTATCTTTAATCTAGTTCTCTTGACCAGCTGAGAAATCAAACAGGATAACCATCTCCAAACCAGGTAATGGACTGTATTATCTCTCTTGAATAGTATGGTTAAGTCAGCATCCGTAATCAGGATCTACTCCAGTAGTTCTCAGACTATGTTTGAGGCTTTGCTCAATAATCTCTCTGTTTCATATCTTTGCAAACTGGAAAACTAGTTCAAGAAATCTTCAACCAAAGAACCAAGAAGTCTCTGCCAGCCACGTTTTTCTGAGGATACTGGGACACTTAATTATCTGTGGTGTGGCCATCTATATGGATATGCATGTAAAGAAAAGTTGCTTATCCCAAAGAGATTCTAGCTACTTATGTGTTGTCCATATATGTGATAACCATATCCCCTTCTCCCTTGCTGAGTGTGACTGACAGAATATTATAACTTTGTGCTTGCTGTCAAGTTGAGGAAAGGGGAGAGATACGAGTACACACCCGCAGTATTGTGAGGGCCAAAAAAACCCCATTTTATGATCTTGGATGCCTCCGATGTTTGGACCTCTACAAAGCAAATGTGCATACACACAACACATTGCAAAGAGCTCTGGCTACTGGTAAGTAACCTTTTTTCCCCAAAAATTTTCTTAATTATTTTCATAATAGTAACTGTTCATCGTAAGTTCAGCATTGATTTAAAGGTAGGGTGCAGCAGGTCTGTGCTGCCTGGCAGGTAATATCTCTTGCCTTCATGATGATGTAGAAGCTGTAGATACTGCAGGTTGTTGCTTCAGTGTTATTTACTTTCCTTACCAAGATTTTCCATTAATCATTTAAAACTAATTTCATTAATCATTCTTAATCTATGAATTCATGCTTTTGATAAGGAATGAGGCATAGCTGGGTTTTCTCAGGAATGGGAGCTTTAAAACAGGTAAATTAATACAGGGATGAACATGGGTTTTTGTTATTTCTGGATGTTAACCATTGCAGTCATCAGAATAATGCAACAGCTCATGGAAAGGCTAAACAGTGAAGCTCTGGGTTTGTTGGTTTGGTTTTTTAAGATAACTGCTGCTCAGTTAAATGGAGCATATTAAGTTACCTTCAACTCGGGCCCTTAGTGTTTCTAACAGCTATTTTTTATGATGACATGATCTCACATTACCACCTGTGTGATTTATTGTCATTTATAGTCTTGTGAATAAATGTTCTTTGCTACTGAATGAAAGACTGGCTAATATTACTTGTTTCTTTCATGCTGTTCAGTAACATTGTTAAGCAGCTAACAAAAATGTGAGTATCGAAGCTCGCTCCACCGTGGACATTAAAATATCTCATTATTTTTGTGACCTCTTCCTTTCACCTTGAATTTATTTTTCAACTTTTTGATCTTCAGCAGTCTGACAGTTTGCATACCCAATCAGGATTTAACCAAACTCTGGCATTTACTAGCCAAAAAATACGAAGTCTCTTTGCCAATGAAAGGACAGGTTTAGTTTCAACAGCTTTAAAATTTTCAGTGTTAAGAGCAAGAAAAAACATTTTCATATAAATCACACGAAAGGAAAAACAATTTTATACATTTTAGAATCCTGTCATTTAAAGATGAGAGCCATGTTACA